CTGTGACCAAAAAAAACAATAATTTTAAGTGAATTATATGCAATAATCAGCAATATGCTTTCACACAAATAACTTTATTTTTTGAATGTTTCAATATGCGTTGACACAAATTACTTATTTGAATTTTTCATTGATGCAACATGGCACTGAGTTCTTAGAAAAGAAATGTGTAGAGACGTTATTGCTTGATGACATCAGGAACCAATTAATCAGCTTTTTGAACCGGTTCTTCACTGCTGGTGCTTTTTCTATTTGCATGCGTTTTCCTAAAGTTGCGGCGCGTTGTGCTCTCTCGGCCACCGTAGTAACTGAGGTGAGGTTCGTGAGCAGTGTTGCCAAGTCCGCGGTTTTCACACGGAATTAGGCTACTTTAACACCGTTGCCGCGGGTTGAAGCGACCCCAATAACGTGATATTTAGCCCCTGGAATGCGAGTTTTAACAGGGGAATCCTGCCACCCCCTGAACACGATTGGGATAGTTTTGAGTAGCAATTGGGCGGGTTTATTGAAACCTGGCAACCCTGTCGTGAGGTCAGATGGGCGGGAGATATAAGAGCTATATAAGATGACACAATTTAGAGGTCTTCAGAGAGTGACAAAGAAAGCTCTGCCTGAGCAACACCCCGAGTATATTGTTTAATCTCGTGCTGTGAGTGTGAGGATGGGCGTCCCGGTGTCTGCTGCTGTGACTCTAGGGCTGCTGTTCTTCTTGTCTGCGGGACTGAACGAGCAGGTGGCCGAGGGCTGTAAATGTCTTCCAAGACACCCTCAACAGGTGTTCTGCGAGTCTGATATAGGTAAGTCAAACGCATGCATAGCTAATTAGGCGTCTATTTGATGTCTGCATTTACATCTGCAATACGTCTAGGACGTTTCCTATCAGATGTCAAATAGACGTTTAGAAGATGTTTTAAGATGCTTATTTAGAATGCATGCAAAACTGACATCTTAAAGACGTCTATCAGATGTTTGTACACAGCAGATGCTTTCCAGATCTTTAACAGACCTCTTGCAGACATATGTGTGCTGTCTGGGTGTAGGTGCCGTATACAAATCTGTAGGGTGCATGCTGCTTTGAAATAAGAAACTACACATCAGGTTTATGGAGAGCAGTGTCGGGCAGTATAGGGTTGCACGGTTTACCGGTACTACGGTAGTAGTAAGGCTCCAATACTGGCGTTGCCACTGTATTTTTTTTTTTAAACTGCAGTATCTCATTGCGGTTCCTCCGTAAGTAATGTAGTATGTGGGGAAGTCGCTAAAATGTTAGAACACTTGTGCATGCAAATAAATACAAATGCGTCTTTTTCTTTGTCCTGTCGACTTTCTGCGGTGCAAAATGCTGTAGAATTCGCGCCTTGCACCGGGTTCACACTGGATGCGCAAGCAGAGCGGGAGCAGCACGCGCACATTGAGCTTCCACACTGGCAGCGTGATGAGGTGTTTTCGTGCAATTAAAATGTTTTCCACAGCGCTGAATGTCATATGGTGGTTGTGAAACACAGAACAGCTCACTTGTTTGATTTTTATGGTGAAATTGTTATTTTTCGTGTTTTCTCGTGTCCATTTTGAACAGTGCCGATCCTAGACTTCTGGGGGCCCTATGCAAAACTGGGGGGGGGGGGGAGTGGGGTATGAATGAAATGCATTTGTTCTTGTTTCACTCAGTCTCGAATCGCGCTCGTGGAAAACGCTTGAGAAACATTCTCTTCTCTCGAGTTTTTGGCGGATTGGAACAGTGTCTCTTCCGCGGCTCGGTACGGTTTCTATTATTATTATTATTATTATTTTTTTTTTTATGTTGAAAGGGCGACAGTGCACTGCATTAAAAGAAATGATCATTCATGTTTTCATAACCGCTAGCCAAATTAAAAAACGAAACCATAAAATGAAGTCCTCTTTGAGAGCAAGGGTGCCCCCTGGTGTTTCGGGGGCCCTACGCAGTCTGCAAGAACAACGCACTGTGCTTTAATTCAGTGAGTGGCGCAGCAAAAATAAACTCAGCGCCGAAACTATCGCTGCGTGCAGTGAACACTCTAACCTGTTAACATGTGCGCCGAAATAAATACGCGCTGCTATATGTCCTGCATCTCCACAACAGCGTTACAACGCCACTGCTTTGGGGCGTGTCAATTTTAGGGCAGAGCACGCCTCTGAAAACAATGTTTACGCCCTATTTGTGTTTCATCTTCTTTTAACGGCGGTTCGCAAACTAAACATTATTGGTGCCATCTAGGTACAACCTAAAATTCAAAATGATGAACCGTAGCCTATATGCTATAGATGGGTGAGCGCTGTAAAAGCCTGTAAATACGCAACGGCTTGTGAAAGTAAACATTGCCATTTTGTTTTGCATAATTTTAATAAAGTGAAAAACCTGGAGAAAAAAAAGCCTGTCATACTTTTTATTGGTGTGTATTTTGTTTTTAACAATTTTAATATTGACAAAATATAGCTAACATTAAATATACACGCCTAATCATTTTTACAAATACATATGGTAAAATAAAAAGAATAATATAAATACTGTGAAAGTATTGTCTATAATAATCTGAAATGTTTTTATATGACGGTTTGTGATGTTATTTATTGTGTCTCGCTGCTTCTAGCGTTCTGGGACGGTCCGTTGAGCTACAAGATCACAGAACATCTCAATTCTCACAAAGATGCGTTCTGTGTTCTCGTGTCCTTCTGAGTTTGTTCTTTCAAGGTAGCCTGGCAAGACTGGTCTCCACGAGAACACAAGTCCATTCTTGGAATTGAGAAACGGTGAATTTCAGTCAGAGTTGTGCGACACAATCGCCGTTTACGGATGCCATAGGAATGAATGAGAAATGCCGTAAGCTGTGTCCCACCTGTCGCAAAAATTCAGTGACTTTTCTCTTATAAAATGGCAACAGTACAAAAGTATTGTTTAGTGTAAAACATGTTGGAGATTATAGAAATATTCTCTTTTAAAAACAAGGATCTAATTTTATAGTTGTTAGGCTTTAACCCCGAGAAACAGATAGAGCCGACTAAGGTATGTTCAGGTCTAGGAGGACAGACAGAAAGTGCGGATGTACATACACTGCTTTTGAACAGCATATGTACACCTGCAGGAATGGCCCTAGTAAGCACCTTAAATTCTTTTAATGTAATAGGTATTTTGTATCTTGAGAGAAAGTCTGCAAATGTAAATAAAGTCCCTTCATTATTAAATAACTGACTCCCTAATATTTAATCCTCAATTTTTCAATATGATTATTTTTAGCTTGTTGCCTCAAGTCTAAAAAAATAAGCAGAGCTCTTTTCGCCCTCTTCAAGCAATTTCCTTCGAGACCTAATAAAAGCTCCTTCAGCCTTTTGTTTGTAAATTTCCTCAAGTTTAAGTTTCTGTTCAGTGAGTTCTACTTTATCGAATTCTGATAATTCTTCTACTCTTTTAGATAATAAAGTAGATATTTTAACTAAAATTGTATCCTCTTCAGCTTTCCTCTTTTTTTGCAAACTCGCTACAGTACTTCCTAAAAAAAATTCCTACTTCAAATTTGAGAAGTTCCCAATTGCTACAATATTTTTTTTCAATTTTTGCTTTATTCCAATAAGTCAAAATTATTTTTTCTATGCCAGTAATTACTTCGTTATGTTGAAGTACTGAATTATTTAATTTCCAATATCCAGACTTTTGAGTTAAATTCACAGAAGATCTAAAGGGAATACTTATTGAAATAGCCTTATGATCCGAGAATGGGGATGGTATTATATCAGTAACAATATTATCTAAATCCTTAGCTGTAAGCCAATAATCAATCCTGGACTGACTAGATAAAGAATTATTACTCCAAGTAAAGCATTCTTGTGTTGGGTGAGATTTTCTCCATTTGTCAATTTAAGAAAATTTCTCCATAAACGTAATTACATAATCAGGGCTTAGATTTCCAGCCTGAGGAGGTAACCTACAGTAACCTGTTGTCCAGGACGACATTGAAATCACCTCCAAAGATCAGAGAAGAGTTAGGATATGTGGCTAACATACGAGTCACCCGATCACCTAATCTGTCAAAAAAGGCATTATTTTCTCTTTGTTTTTCTCTTTGTAAGTTGAAACCATAAACATTAATAATAATACAGGTTGAATTTAAAATTTCAAGGGCAAGTAAAATGTAATGTCCAGATGTATCACACTCAGAACTTAATATTTTCCCTTTAAATCGATTTTTCAAGATGCAAACCCCAGCAGAATGAGTAGTGCCGTGAGATAACCATAAATCTAGTCTCCATTGCGACCTCCAAAAATGTACATTTTGAATATCAGAATGGCACTCTTGTAGGAAACAAAAATCTGTATTGAAGCGCTTCAAGTACAAAAAAATGGCTTTCCATCATGTGGCGCTGTTCTGAACAACGGCGAGTATCTGCTGTCAGGTAAAATAATTTACTATCTGAAGGCAGAGTTTGAGTTGAAACCGAACACGCTGATTCCTGATGCTGGTTGTGAACATCAGTTGAGGCTGGGTTGTACTTCACACGTTATGCCCTGATTTGCAGTCTGGATGAGTCTGTGCAAGTCGGAGCCAGTCTGCAGATTTTGGGCAGTCTGAGTTGACCGATTTCACAGAGAATCACAGTGAAGTCAATTATTCAACTTCAGTTTTTTTTTAATTTAAAAAAAAAAAAATTTTTAGCTTCAGACTTTAATATCACTCGTTTAATATTGAGCCGATTTTAGAGCACATAGTTTTCACTGATTTAATGGGACAGATATTTTCCTTTAAAAGCACACACAACCAACAAGTTTATTTTAAAAACACAAACGTAAGGCTAGAATTCACTACATGACTTTTGCCCAGATTTTTGCCCCAGTTTACAGTCTAAACTGTAGCTAGATGCCGAAAGTCAGAGCCAGTCTACAGATTTGAGTTAACAGATTTCATAGAAAAATGGCATAGTCTATGATTTCAACTTTATTTTTTTTTTTTTTTTTTTTAGCTTCAGACTTTAATATCACTTGTTTAATATTGAGCCGATTTTAGAGCACATGGTTTTCACTTATGCGTCTCCTAGCAACAAGACACATTTCTGTGTGAGTTTGTGGTGTTTGGGATGAGTTCAGAGTCTGTTAGTTTGTAAACCTCAGTTTTTAGCGTATTAGATCCATGTTTTTTTTTTCTTTTTTTCTTCTCTGTAACCATTTACAAAACCAGTCCTAGTGTATCGGTTTAGATATATTAAGTCGTATAGTGTATTCCAGCCAGCTCAATTAAGCCTAATGTTCCATTTTTAATAGCTCAAAAAACATTTAAGAACTTGATGACACCTCTTCTCTGTAACCATTTACAAAACCAGTCCTAGTGTATCGGTTTAGATATTAAAAGTCTTAGTGTATTGCAGCCAGATCAATTAAGCCTAATGTTCCATTTTAATAGCTCAAAAAACATTTAAGAACTTGATGACACCTTTCATAAGTAAACCATAATTGTCCTCCGTGATGTTACACAACTCAAAGAAAAGACTCCTTATCCAAGACCTCAAACCTGAAAACACTTATGAATCTCAATGGGGCATGAGGGTTCAATAAGTGAGGACCTCTCTAGGTACAAAACAAGTTGTGTGTGTGTGTATATACAGTAAAAACTAACTGTAAAAACAAAAAATAGAGATGCATAAGAAAAATGTTTTTTTTTTTCCACCTAAGGACGTGTCATGGATGGAGTGATTGTTTTTGGTTTATGTGACTTTATGTGGCCTTGGGACCAACTCTCCTCGGTTCAAAAGGGGAACCTCAACATGTATCGGAGAGGCTGTGTCTGTGAGGTAATAATCCAAATCATATTTTTTACAATAGTTCACCATAGTCTCAAGATTTTCTGCCATTTTTTGAGTGTTGTCAAATGTGTATTTAAACCCTGGGTTCAGATCATTTTCAGAAAATGTTGTAAAAGATTTCCATGTTTAATGCATCAACGAATTTGACAAGGACATCCCAGATGCCATAGAGGAAGTTCTCAACGCCTCTTATGATTAAACATGCTTGGTAGAGAAGAACCCAACCATGCTGACCTAAAAGACAAACAAGCTTCAAGTCTCCAGATATTCCTAAAAACGTGTTGCATTTGCCTACTTGGTTTTGTAATTAATACTTGGGGGGGCCCTTGCATTAGCCACCGACTGTTATCAGTGATTTTGATTTATTGTTGTTTTTGTAGTAAAGGTTGTTGTGTTATGAGCATTGAGAAGTGTTCTCTCAAACTGTGATCTCTACAGATTGCATCCTGTACTGGAGCGTCCTGTTTGACCAAGAAGCTTCAAAGAAAGTGTCTGATAGGAGTCAATAATTTCCTCGGTCTTGTTTATGAAGAGGCTCTTCAGTCTGTGTGCCTGCCATGCAGAGACGGCTTCTGCAGATGGCGAAAAATGATTGGTAACTACAAAAGCTCCTAAAATGACGCCCTGAAGACCAAGTGCATCAGCCAGTTTGGACATCTGGAGCGTCCTGTTTGACCAAGAAGCTTCAAAGAAAGTGTCTGATAGGAGTCAATAATTTCCTTGGTCTTGTTTATGAAGAGGCTCTTCAGTCTGTGTGCCTGCCATGCCGAGACGGCTTCTGCAGATGGCGAAAAATGATTGGTAACTACAAAAGCTCGCTAAAATGACGCCCTAAAATGACTAAAATGTCAACTAAAATGACGCCCTGAAGACCAAGTGCATCAGTCAGTTTGGACCTTTTGTGATTCCGAATGCTTAGATTCTTAAATGAATTTAAACATTTAATGAAGCTTTGCAATGCAGTCAGCAAATGCATACAGAACTCTGTTTTCATGGAGATATGCCATTAACCATTAAACTGTTTTGCATGTAAAAGCGTCTGTGTATTTAATGGGAAATGTGAGCATGTGTATATAAATATGGATGTTCTTAGTGGCAATGCTTTATATCCAATGCATTCATCTGGCATTGTTTTTTTTTTCACTTTTCGGTTCTGATGAGCATGGAGTTAAATATGAAAAATGACGAACGGCAACGTATAAGGTTCCTTACTAGAAAGATGTCACTAGAAACAACATATTAGCTTATTTGCAGAAAGCTGGTAATGATTTTGAAGTGGTATATTGAAACGCAGTGTGTGTACGCTGCATAGAGGGGCTGCTACTGAGACCGATTGAGACTTAGTTTTCATGTCTTGGGGTCAGAAAGCCTAAAAAATTTATATCAAAAAGCCCCTACATCACATGTCGTTCAGGAAGGTTTTGAGAAAAATCCTCCTCGCTCATTCAAAAACAAACGCCAGCATATTCAGTTGTCAGACATGACTGAAACAGCCAATGGGACTGGCTTCTATGGTCAGATAAAAGTAAAAAAAAATAGAGCTTTTTGGCAGGAAAACATACCTGATGGGTTTGGTGCAAACAGGGATAAAATGTAGCCCATGCCCACAGTTAAATATACTGCTGGATCTTTAATGTTGTGGGCCTGTTTTTCTGCCGGAGGTCCTGGACATCTTGTTCAGATACATGGCATCATGGATTCTAGACCAAAATCATGAAATCTAAACCATTGTCCTGATCTTCCTTCAGAACAATGATCCAAAACAAACATCAAAATCGGCACAATGTCTCATTGAGCACAAAATGAAGCTTCTGCCGTGGTCGTCTCAGTCTCCTGACCTGAACCTTATAGAAAATGAGTGCGGTGATCTGAAGAGACGGAGCTGTGAATCTGAAAGATCTGGAGAGATTCTGTCTGAAGGACTGGTCTCTGATCTCAGGTTTCCTCCAAACTCATCAGGCATTATAGGAGAAAACTCGGAGCTGTTATCTTGGGAAAAGGACGTTGCAATAATTGGGTGCCAATAATTGTGGCCAACGTGAACTAGAGAAAAACATTTTTCATAATGAGATTTTACCCCCACTTTCCGCTGTTTTACTTCAATGAAGGGTTAGAATTTTGTGGATTTATTGAATGAAAGACCAAAAGGATAAACGATGCAGATTTATTTTCACAGCCACATTTGCTCATATTTACCAAGGGTGCCAATATTAGTAGAGGGCATTGTAAGTTGTCAGTGTTACTAATCAAAACACAAACACAAAACCAATTTGGTTCTTCAGCGGCTCTTCGGAGTGGTTGAGGTGCTATACAGCACTGCTACCATATAAAGAACCTGTTAAGCCCTTGTATAGTTCTTTAAAGGTTCTCTAAGTCTCTCTTAGTTTAGTTGGGAAAGGATTAAAAAACATTAAAATACAGTGTATTTCCTGAAGATAGCGTGGTTCTCAACCTTTTTGCCCCCAAGGCCCCCGTGTAAGGAAATATTCCACACAAGACTTTTTTTACCTCAGAAAAGCATAAAACTTCAAAACAGCTTTTGCCATTGTAGTAAATTCCCATTCATAGCAAACATATGAGAGTGGAGTGACATCTTAAATCTAATGAGGAGAATGGGGTTCCTCTTATGTTTCTACATAGCTCCATTTGACAAAGGTGCTGTATAACACTTAAAGTGGTTCCCCTATGATTACAAGCCAATGAACCACCTTTAGTGATATTCACCACCACTTTTGTTTAAATTGCATATATATATATAAACTAATATATAGTATACAAAGTATACAAATAACCAAAGTGTCAAATATTTTGTTCTTTACAACAAAAGTACAAAAAATGTAGTTGTTTCTAATCAAATGAAATGAAAGGCAAGGTTGTCTTGTACTTACCATGTCCCTGTAGTTTGAGTAGAATGTCTGATCAACAAGAGGGAATTTATCTGCTCCCAGTTTCTTGTAGATGCTGATCAGTTGAGAAAACTAGGAGAAAACAGAGAATCAGTCTGGATGCAAATTTTGGCAATAATAGATCTTGAAGCGTTAAAACTGTCCTTTAGTGTCCATGCCACAATGTGGTCTGATCTGAACACACAATTTGTATATATGGGCCAGGGTGTTTTTACCGTGTGATGAGTATAGCGACATCATGGTGTGCAGGATGAGTGTCACTTTGAGGATTGAGGTTTTTTTGCCAGGTACAGAAGCTGTTGAGAGTCGTATCAGCGTGGTGAATGATCTTCAGCCCTTTCTGAAAACACATAAAAGTAGTAGTAAAGTAAAAGCAGTAATAATAATTTTAAAAAAAAAAAAAAAAAAAAAAAAAACGGCATATGTTCAATCTTGTCACACTGTGAAGTAGCCCCAGAAACCGATAGGAAGTTTTAATGCTCCTCACATTGACAGGATTTATATATATATTTTTTAAAGAAAAACACTGTACAAAACGAAATGTCTACTCACAGCCCATGGCTTGTCACAGAGGTTGTAAATGGACTCCAGCGAGTTGACGCTGGGGATCCCGGCATACTGCAAACCGATGATTATATTGCGGAAGTCTTCATTCTGTGCCATGCTATAAGCGTGCTGTTGCACCAACACAAAGTCAGGCTTGAAGGACCTGTGTGAATAATAATAATATATCGAGAACAGAGCAAACAGAGCAAAAGTGTCAGTCTATTATCTGTTTAACATTTTAAATGAGTAGTGTTTAATCATGTATGTACTGTGTTATAATATAATAATCCTACTGGCCAAAACCACATTTAAAAAATAACTAGTTGCTTCTTTAAAAATATAATTAATAATAAATAGATTTTAATGGCAAGCTTTAATGTCAACAGATAATATCTTTTAAAGATGTTCTTTTAAAGATAAACATGAAGAACAATTTAATTATTTTCTGTTTCATGACATTCACTTTCTTTTAATCACCTCAGACTATAACTCAGGGCTTCATATAGATTTCAATATTTATTCAATATATATATATATATATATATATATAAAGAATACTGTCTTTTTGTCAACACTGTCAACTCTGTGATTATAATAAATTAGACCGAGCTGAAAATCTGCTCAAAAGCATTCTGTAGTTTCAAATCATTCATTCATTCAATGTTTATTACTGACACTATTCAAAAAGCCATTTTTGATTGTTTGTTTGTTTGTTTGTTGTCTGTACATAAAGTTAAAATAATAATAATAATAATGTGTTGGGAGTGAGTTTGAAAGAGACCAGAGAAAAAAAGAGAAAATAAATAAATAATAAAAGATGAGACGGATGAGTTCGCTAAGAGAGAGATGGTGATCTGAGACACTCCTGACGCTTTTCTGCTCAGATGAACAGAAAGTCTTTCACTGTATTGGGACTTCGACATGAGGAAAGCATGTTCTTCATATGATGCTATGATGTATAATATTAGAAACTGCATATACATACATTTTCTTAAGAAAATGTGAGTGCTTGATGAGGCAAGACTCAGCACTGCTTCTGTGTTCTGCGTGACTGAAAAGAGAGCCATGTCTGTATGATGCCACAGAGTTGAGATATGGTATGGCTTGTTAATGTTGTTACACAGTTGCTAGGGTTTTCTAAATAGGGCGTTGCTAGACAGTTGCCATGGAGACATCTGAAGACTTCTGGCCAGTCTGAGTCAAAAGAGTCATCCTCTCTATGATGTTCTGATCCAGAGATAGTCCTCTCATCCTTTTTCAATGGATGCTTATGAAATGGTTGCTAGGGTGCTGTAACTGGTTGCTAGCAAGTGGCTATGAAGTTGTTATGTCACTAATTGCTTATTGTCAAAAGAGCCCACCCTTGAGCCTCTATGGCTTTCTGATCCAGAGATATGACTTCAAAATTTGGTTCCAATGTTAAGCCTATGGGACTTTTTCACCTAGTTTTTTTGCCCGCCGATCACTTAAAAGTCATAGCACATCTCTCCTTAATAAGCTGCATGATTTGACACCTCATTCATGGGTCAAAGACAAACGGTGAGGTACGAATCACACACCTAAGTTTTGTCTAGAAGAAGAAGAATAAGTATGCAAGAGAATAGTAGTGATGCTTTGCTTCACAAGCACCACTAATGATGAACAAAACATATGCAAAATTAATAATAATTTTAAAAAAGAACACCAGCATGTTTTCAAGTGTTATGCAAGTGAATTTAAGTCAATATTTTTTAAAGGCAGATGATTGTCTGGTCATATCAACACACACCCACATCAGTACAAGACACATCAAACCCATACTGATGCCTACACACACACTCATTAGGAGTGTCAGGTAATGGGAAAATCCACCCGCTATACTCATTTAAAACAGTGCAAACCCTCCTGCATGAGTAAGCTGCACAACCACAGTGGCATATAGCTCTGCTTATGGTAAGCTGTATTTTGGCTTCCTGTCTTTTTGATGAACCACATTTTGTGGTCATCATGACAGTAAATCACATCACCCTAAATCTTACTGTTATAATTGGTTTTAACATTTGAACTATGAAACATAGTTGGGCTTTGTGGGCTTTTACATGAGCAGTTGTTGTAACAGTATTTTTTAACAAATGAGGGCAGTATGCATCAGCAATATTTTTGGTCTATTTACCTGAAAGATAAAGATAAAAATCTTTAATCTTATACAGCAAATGTCTTTAAAACTTAACTTTCAGTTAAGGGCTGCACTAGAGTATACAGTCAAACCTGTCAGATAACACTTATGCAAAACATGGTCAGGTCAAAGTGTCTGAATAATTTTTGATCCCCAATTTTTTTTAACCAATTTTACTGGTAGTCCACTTTATGAAGAATTTTTGGGTATAATATGCCACAGTTTACTTTATTTTGCTATCCTCACTTACGTAAATGAAATATAGTGTCCTGCACCCAGTAGTAAAAAAATATCAAAAATTATATCTGGTGTCTGAATAATTTTTGGTTTCACTGTGTGTGTATATAATATGTATTTGTACATATGTGTATGTGTGTGTGTATATATATCTTTGTCAAAGCTACATTTATTTGATAAATTAATACAGTGATCAACCAAAAATTATTCAGCTGTTAAATTTAAGTACACAATTAGATAATACCAATTTAGATCAAACAATTACCAAGCAATGCTTAATTTTGTTCAGTCTGTGGTGTAAAAAGGTTGCATTAGGTCACAGTTTACCTACCCTCACTACCCTCACTTACGTAAATGAAATATAGTGTCCTGCACCCACTAGTAAAAAAAAAAATATATATATATATATATATATAAAATTATATCTGGAGTCTGAATAATGTTTGGTTTGACTGTAGATGCAAAGCTAAAACACAAAACAGTTTCCCTTAATGCCACATAAGTTACTGTCAGAACAGTTTGCTAGTTAAAAGGTACTTTATGTGATAACATCAAACTGAATACTGACTGATGGATAAATGCTGAAAACTGCAGAAAAAAATGGATATATGAATTTGATGGACTCATGCTGGATTCGCCGCTGTATTTTCTGATGATTATGTTGAACTTACCGAACCACTTTTGTTCCATTTCTGATCACTTGCATGTCCACACTGCATGTGCCATTAGCATGAGCCACAAGGTTGATCTCCGAGAACTCAGCCTGAAACAAAAAGAAACGTACAAATAAATATAGGTTACACTTTATTTGGATAGTCCGCATGATAGTCTGATGTTCATTCATGTTTATTTTGTGGTATAACTTGTAGTAAAGGGGAAGAGATTATCGCTCCCCGTTGCCGCTTGAACTCAGCAGGCAGATACAGCGAACTATCATGCCACATCAAAGCACCAAAACGGCATTTAATGTTTGGATTTCATGAAGAAATTAACAGAAATCAAAAGCTGATGATTTGTTTCTTTTCAGAAGTAAAAAATCACAAAGCTTATTGCGATTATTGAATGGGAGGCAATACAAAAATACTTAGAGAAGCTTTATTCAGGCATCAACTGAAAGTAGCATAGACTAAAATATAGATCTTGTGGTTTAAGAATCTATATAGACATACTTAAAGTTAAAAGGAACATCTGAATGTTCTGGGATATCTAAATTTACCTCACAATTTACCTCACATTTCTTCAATACCGCAAATAAGATATATTCTACTAACTATAAGTATCTTTGCAACTACATGTCAACTAACTCTCGTTAGAGCATTAGTAGACTGTTAGATCAGGGTTAGTAGAATAAGTTGCAAAGTTAGTCAGTAGAATGTGTGTTGGGGGACCATCCAAAATAAAGTGTTAGCAGATATTAAGCAGACAGTCTGTTAGTTGACTTGTACTGTAGTTGCAAAGAATAGTCAGCATAATGTCTAAAGTGGACTATTAAAATAAAGTGTACTTAAATATGTTATGTCTGCTGTTATAAACATGACAAGGATCTCAATATGTATTCAGAATCTTGGTCTGCCCAGTCAAACTTGCAATATTTATTATTTTTCATGTAAATGTCTACTTTTATACTAATTTGTGTTGCGTCTTCAAACAGAAAATAGTCTATAAACTAAAGTCATTGACTCTTATTTTTTTAATAAACATCTTTAATAAAGACGAGTAAATAGTAAGATGTACTGTACATTATCTTTAAAAGGTTATTATTATCTACTTGACATATTTTTCTATTGTTAATTATATTTTTAAAGAAGAAATCAACTAACAAAAAGTAAGATTAATACTATTATTATACATAAATAATATAAATCAACTAACAAAAAGTAAGATTAATACTATTATTATACCAAACACCTGATAACAGCAGTTCCTGTCTGCATGCAGTTCTGTAGATCCTTCTGAAGAATATCAAAGGCTGAGTGGAGGTGGAACCGGCGTCAGCTTTCTGTCATTCAGCAAAGCGCTCTGTGTTGTGTCAGTCACTCTCTCTGTAAGTCTTATTTGGTGTTGTTTGTCCCAATAAGCTCCTCAATAAGCATGTCTAAGGCTGAGGCTAAGACAAAGCATTTAAAAAAGGGCGAGAGTAAATTGCGTTACAGGCTGTGTGTTCCTCCCTGCCCGCGCTACATTACGAGCGGGGATACACACAGTCTGTGCATGGTTTGCTTGGGAGTGAAGCACGCAGAGTTGGCTCTCGAGGGAGCCGAGGCGGAGCGGCAGCTGCACTCGTGGGGTTCGCAGGTGGATCTGGAAGAGGGAATGGAGATGGGCGAGTCCCTATCTTCTTCCTCACCTGTCAGATCCAGCGCTCGCTCTCTGGGTTCAGAAGCCCGTTCTGCGGTTTCTTCCCCCTGGGGAGCGGGCTCGACGCTCCGCCCTGTCTTCCGACGTGGAGAGCGTAGGGGAGGATTTGCCCCCTCAATCGCCCCAGTACGAGGAGCGGTTGGAGGTGGTTACTCGCGCTGTGGCCAAGTTAAACATCGACTGGCCAGCCAAGAAACAAGCCAAAACGCAGAAAAGTAAATTAGATGAGCGTTTTCTGCGGGCCAGGCCACCACCTCCATCCCGGAGCTTGCCTTTTTTTCCCCGATCTCCACACCGAGATGTCGAGATCGTGGGCTAGGCCATTCTCGGCCCGCCTCTGCATCCCCGCTTCCGATTATTATGGCAATGTTGCGGGGTTGAACGAGCGCGGTTATAGGGCGATGCCTCGGGTTGAACAGACGCTCGCGAGCTATCTGTCCCCGGGTGCGGCATCGTCCTTGAAGGCTCCGGCCTTGCCCTCCAAGCCGCTGCAAACAACTTCAGCGCTGGTGGGCAAGGGGTACGAGGCAGCGGGTCAGGCTGGTGCGTGTCTGCACACCATGGCGGTGTTACAGGCGTACCAAGCCGACCTGCTTAAAGAGCTGGATGAAGGTGAGGAGATCTCTCCACAGGATCTTCCTCCTCGACACCCCGCTTGTGCCTTCTGGCCTGTTCGGCGACGCCATCAACTCCGTTGTCGACAGGTACCAGGAGGCTCGTAAACAAGCTGCGGTATTTCAGTGGTTCCTCCCTCGCCGCACTCCAGCTCCCGCCCAGCAGCCCCCTCCGCGTACTGGCTCCTCGTACAGGGACACCCAGAAGCAGAGCGTCGCCTCGTGCTCCCCCGCGTCGGGACCAGGGGTCGAAACGACGCTCTGGGTCGAGGGCTTCAAAGCCGAAACCAGATTTAAGAGCTTTTCTGGAGGCTAAGAAGTCCTCGACCAAGAAGTCCTGACGCCAGTGCCTCAGGACTTCTGAGGGCAGGCTCCTCTGGGGTAGAGGTTCCAGGGCGTAGCGGTCTCCCACGAGCACTTCTCTCAGTTACCGCCTGGAAACGTAGCAGTGATAAGAGGCTCGCCACCTCCACGGAGGTCTCCATCCCCTGCCGGTGTGCCGCTTCAGGGCACCGAGCTAGCTGCTTCAATTACACCAGAGGTCAGTCTCGAGATACTGATTCCCCTCGAGAGACTGATTGCAGCG